ACAGACAGAGAGAGAGAGAGAGAGAGAGAGGAGAGAGATAATACACGCACGCACACACGCACACACACACACACACACAAACACACACAAACACACACACACACATGAAGGACTCTGTAGCGGGTCCATTTCCGGGTTCCTCTCCCTGTCTGTCCAGTAGTCCATCTCCTATTTTGCACACCATTTTTTTTCTACTAAATTCTACGTCCCGTGCGCACTCGTTCCCTTCCGAGTTTACATTTCACACCGAAGAATTGTTCAAAAGTTTATTGTTCTAATCGTTTTTGGTTGAATATTCTTCTACCTCAATTATCTCTCCACCAACGTGTTTTGACTTTATTTTAAAAGTTTCTCAATTTTCATGACAAAGAACATTGTTTCCGTTACCTTTCTGAACTTTTGATTGATAAAAAGGCAAACCGGCCTCTGTTATAGCGGTTCACATAGTAGACAGAAAGTCTGAGTTCGATTTCCAGAAGGGGTAAAGTACCCCGGTCTATCTTCTGGGGCATTGTATTGTATCCCTGTCAACCTGAACGAAGTGACTATTCCCAGTGACACTGGGGATAGGTACAGAAACTATTCCCAGTGACAACGGAACTCCTTTGCATTAAAAAAACAGAAGGCTTTGCACTGTTACCTGTAGCCTTGAAAGACTCTCTTCTAACCTCTGTTCAGTTCTTTTGTTCTCTTCTCTTACTTGGGGCTTAGAATCTAGACCTGACCGTAGAATAGAGATCTAGAACAAGATATAGATCTAGTTTAAGAAAGAAGAATCGGGAAGGATTTCCATCTGTCCTGTTCCGTGGTCTCCAAAATCCGTATATTACATCTAGATCTAGATCTACACGTACATTTAAATTACGACTGAATAACAAGCAAACATAATTCCTTTTTCTTAAAAAAATAATCTTCCACTCACATCAGAATCTACTTTAGTTTAGTTAGATCTAGAATCTAGATCTAAATTACATAGTCCAGTATTTAGTAACCCATCACCATCATGCCCATGTAGATCAGCGTGGGAACAATAGGCTAGATCTAATGGGCCTGTCTGTTCTCAGTGTCACTGGGAATAGTTTCTGGGCCTATTCCTAGTGACACTGGGAACAATTCTGCCCTAGGCCTTATTGCCAGTGGTTTCTGGGCCTATCCCCAGTGTCACTGGGAATAGTTCCTGGGCCTATTCCCAGTGTTACTGGGAATAGTGCTTTCCCAACCTGAATTGCTCCTGACAGACAGGGACGAAGCCAACCTCCTAAATGAAAAAAACTGTATCGATATGGGCGTAATACACCTATACTGAATTTTTTTAAAGGTGCAAAAAAGGAAAAGAACACACTACGGAGGACGGACACGTCTCGAAGTCTACATCATGTACACATACTACAGGAATAATGTATGTCTGCTTCAAGTCGGTATCGTCGAAATATTAATTAGATTCACTGAGTACTTCAAAATTTGGACCGTCGTGATGCCACATCGTCATATTGAAAGGGTCTTTTTCAAATTTGGACCACCAAAAACACGCCACCTTTATTTCCAGTTGAGCGTCCCCCTATTGGCGCAGGGCAGAGGCACCTGATTCATAATGTAGTAGTTTATAGTAAAACTTGTACTGGAAGAACCTCGGCAGGTAGGAGGGAGAGCCACACGTTATATCATTTACCCTAGTTCACCTGACCAGAAGATTGTAGCGCGGGAAAAGGTCAGAGATTTAGGGAAGGGGTGAGGGGGAGCTACTGACATTGCCAGCACAACCATAACTCAAACACAGAGAGAGAGAGAGAGAGAGAGAGAGAGAGAGAGAGAGAGAGAGAGAGAGAGAGAGAGAGAGAGAGAGAGAGAGAAGAGGGGGGGGGTAAGAACAAAAAGGAATGATTTTGGGGATGGTGAGAGAGAGAGCGAGGAGTAGAGACTGCTGTTGTCGTCGTTGTGTCCAATGTTGTTCATGATGATGATGAAGATAACGACGATCATAATGATGATGATAATGGTGATGATGATGATAATGATGATGTTGTCGTTATACTACTCATTGTTCTGGGTAAGCGCCCAACACCC